AGCCCTTGTGCCACTAACACAAAGATTATTTCTCTGGGTTTATAGTGCCTCCATGAACCCAGTCTTAGAATTTGGTCCTGTGGTAGCCAAGTCTGTGGGAAGATAACGGATTAAAACACCAATCCTTTTTTATAGACAGAGTTACCTTGACATAAGACCATACTGAGAAAAATGGGTGCCCAACATCAAGTTGCAGTTTAAATACTGACTATACTTCACATTTTAAAAAATTATCTCAGAAGTCCTCTTTCCTCTTTGTATATGCACAATTTCTGTCCATCCTGTGAAACAACTCAAAAGGCACTCATCTCAGAATCCTTCTCTAATAACACAAGTCTATAATACCTTCCCCTTTAAGACAACTAGATTTTGCTCAATTAAACACAGTTGCTGAAACAGTGGAATCTTTAGAGCCTTGAGTTCCCTTTCTTAGCTTTACATTTCTGTCATAAAATCTGCCCCTAACCCTACTTTACCTCAAAACCCAACTTGAACATTACCACCCTCCCTGCTAACGGGGATGTATTTGTTCCTATATTCTTTCAGTCTTTTCTTTCTTCTCTAGAATCAACTTACCCAGAATTCCCCACCCACTAACCAGAGTCGTCCAAGAATAGTCTTCCTTTAAGACTAATAAGACTATTTAAGACTATAAGACTATTAAGACTATTAGACCTTTAAGACTATTAAGACTATTTAGCACTATTAAGACTTTAAGATGGAGAATATCCTTGCTTGACAATATAAACAGTTACTGGAATTAAAAAACAAACAAACAAAAACATAAGCCCACAGGTTCTTGGATGTTTTCAAGAAACTGAATATTTTCTAAATATTTTTATAGCTTAAGAGAGCAAAAAAAAAAATCCCTTCTCTGTACTGAATTAACATTCAATGGCTATTTAATATCAAAGGCTATGAATCATAAACTTCTAGTATTCTAATGTTCTTGTCCCTGATGAGCAGATGCCTTTGTGTCCATTAACAAATAAAATGCAATATATATATATATATATATTCCTTACGTGGAACTTACCTTCGCTTCCTTTGATTTAGGAGATTTCCTTCAGACTCTGTAGCTCCAGGTCTAAGCTACCTGGACTCAGCTTCTGATTGTGGAACACAGAAGGCTGTCTTTGTTATAAACCCTTTGCCTCCTCCCCCATTCCATCCAACCCTCTGGATTCACATGTAGTAGATGTTAACTTGTTAACCTGGTTCACACCAGATGGGGGGGTTGGGGGGGGGCTCTACTTTGGAATCTGGTTATAAAACTGCATTCAGTTCCTGGTTTGGAACAACTAAAGATTCACACCTCATTGATTTCACCTCAACTAACACTTTTCAAATGCCTTCTCTCATCCTTTGTACAAATTTTAAGATTCCCATTTTAAAGATGGAGACCTGAAACAGATCTATAATAGAACTAGAGAAGGTAGGTAGATGGGCAAGTTTATGTGGGAAGAAGATACATGTGATGCAACCCTGTTGCTTCTGAGGCGTCTTTGGAAAAGGCAATTGAAAATATGAGGCAGGAGTTCAGGTGACAGTTGCAACTGGAAATACCAATCTTGGAATCTGTGCTGAAGTGAAACTTTGAACCTTGGGAATGGATCAGATAGCCAAGGGTAGGGATTTTTGTATTATTTGTATTGTTTGCATGATTGGATTAATTAAATTGGATTGAGTACATTGACAAGTGTAAATCTATTTAGTGCTTCTGAAACACTCCTTAGTATATGTGACATCAAATCAAGGGTAAATCCATCATACTTCATACATTACATTTGGCACATGTAGTTAAGATTTTGTTAAGGGAATGACCATAAAAGAAAGGAACTCCCCTACTGAATTTCAGGTTAACTCATTGAGAAGGCTTTTAAAGATAAACGTCCCACTAAACTAATTTCCTCTGACACCTTACAAAGTGGGAACTCACAAACTTCTCCAGTGTCACATTGTTAGGGATTTGAGGAGACCTCTAAGAACCATAGGAGAGCAAGATAAGGATATTAGATCAGCACCAGAAGACTTAGGACTTTTATAAAGCCAAGGCCATAGTAACATGAGTTGAAAAGCACATCCCTGCAAGATACTGGGAATTTTCTATTTAAAAAAATCAAAAGGGAAAAGTAGACCTTTAGAAATACAAAATAGTTAAGAGACAGTCAAAACAATTAATAGATGTTCTAAGACTCCTTGGAGGCCCCGTGCCAATTAGCCTTCAAACAAAGGGTCATGAAAATGGTCAGTAAAATATTTTCTCTCCTGTGACTTTAAGGAGAGAGCAGTGTTTGATGTGTATTTTTTGAGTTTTTTAATGTAAGGTAGAGATGTTAAAAACTGCTGGGGCTCTTTTTTTGTTTTGTTTTGTTTTTGTTTTTAGGCAATTGGGGTTAAGTGACTTGCCTAGGGTCACACAGCTAGTAAGTGTCAAGTGCTTGGTCTGAGGCCGGATTTGAACTCAGGTCCTCTTGACTTCAGGGTCAGTGCTCTATCCACTGTACCACCTAGCTGCCCCTTGATGGGGCTCAAGTATAACCCAAACCAGTTTAAAATATAATTGGGAAATATTTACAAAATAAAAATACATTTTAAAAACTAAGTCAATATGCCTCAGCAGGAATTCTAACGTATGGATTAGTGGCATCCATTTCTACTTGAGTTTGACACTACTGATGTAGAGCATTGTCTGTATTCTATGTCCTGGTAAATTCAGGAGTGAGAACACTTCTGCTAAAAGTTTCAAAGTATATCTTTTCATCTCCATGTTCCTAATTCTAGCTAAATTCAGAATTCATCCAGAGAATATAAAAGATCCTTGCTTCATTTGTATATGTCTATGATGTTGAGAACAACAGAGATTAAATTTGTTACTTAAGTGTAATCTGTTGAATGTGTATTTCAAAATTATGATGAGAGTGTGTTTGCATGGCTTCTATAATACTGAAATACTGTGGAGTTTTGGAGATGTGAAGCTCCTTAGAATTATAGCTTTGTGGACAAAAACTGAGCCCTCTATCATTTTCTTTCACTGAAAAGGGAAAAAGTGTTAATTGCTTTGCTATAGAGCAGGAAGGTAATTTCACAGACTATAGAATGTTCATCCCTAAACATAATTAAAACTAAATTTAAAGTTTTGTTTCTGGTGATGCTGCCAGAGGGATGTAAAAAAAAGAGTTTTTTTATAAAGAAAAATGCAAATATTTTGAAAAAATTCAAAATTTCATTTTATGTGATTACCTTTCTACTGTGGTCTTTCATAAATAACAGTAGAATTTAATTCTTTAAGAAAATCTGAAGCAAAATCACACACAAAAAAGGAAAATAACCTATGTATTTTCAAGTTCTTAAGTATGAAACTGAATTGGAAGGATTTTATTTGGTACAATGAGAAATTAACTAAAAAGCTTGAAATTTCATCTTTGGGGAAAATTAAATTTTTGTTCTGAAAATCTGAGAGAAAAGTGTGATTTGAAAAGCAGAAATTCAATGAAGTAAAAGAAAACCAGTCTTAAAAACTGTTTGGGATATGATTTGGAAACCAGTAAGTATAGCACTGAGAAAGTAGCAATGTCTGAAAAACAAGAAAGTAGGTTATTGAATCAATACGTAAAAAGATGCATTGTTTGTGATTTTCCAGGCTCAGCCTAGGTCTTCCTGCTAACGTTGATTAAAGCAATGCCCTAGGCAACAGGTTGCAAAGGGTCAGAGCTCTTGACCAAAGAAGACAAATGGGCTAGAGTCCACCAATCTGAGCCACACAGAGCAGGTGAATGCCTGAATGGTCTCAAAACCCATGTGTATAAGGAGGGAGAATCAGAACAAAGTATGCCATTGTATGCAAGTGCGTTTGCCATGGTTCGCCCCAAAGGGATCTAATATTTTCTCTCACCCCCACCAAAACAGTAGTTTTGCCTTTGTCCTTGATCCTCGGATCTTTCTTTCACGCGCATACAAACTTTTACTCTCAAGCTTCCCAAATTTTTCTAGTGAGATACATCCTAATTAGGCATGTCTTTCCTGTGCTATGTGGTAATTATTTCTTTTGGGTCCATGCTTCTGAATTTCTACATTGAGAAGCAGAGAAGATTTGGTTTAGGCTGGACTTGGTCTTTTCAGTACTTCAGGAAAGCTTTTAGTCCCTTCTCTTCCCCAACTTCTGCAGTGAACTGGGACTGCCCTGTTTTAAGAGAATGGACACCCAGCACCATACAAGGGAACAATTGAACCAAACCAAAAGATAAAAAGTGAAATAACAAAAGATAGACTTATTTGAGGCTTTCCGATGTTGCTTTTAGCAGAGTATAGAATGCAACTTGGATGGAAAAATACTAACACAAAAGTAATGAAATACCCTTTTATTAAATGAAGCTAGCTATTTAGTAGCATTCAGATATATTAACAAATAAAAGTAACAGTCACAGGTTAGTTTTATCATATCATACATAATATAGCTATAATTTCCCAGAAGAGGAAGTTTTCCATAAAATGAAGAATCCAGGACCTGATGATGCAAGAATTCTTACTCAAATTGCATTTGTATGAATAGCTTCATTGCTTGTAGAAAAACTAATTCTGGATCCACGTCTTTCCTCTTGGACATCACTATGTTTCTCATCCAAGATTTTAGATTTTAAGCTGTACTGCTGCAATCATACTCATTTGTTCTATTGAAATACTGCATTTAATAGGTGCGGTTGTCAATATAATCTATTACATTTTTATGCTGGGCCCATTACTTGAAGGATGGTGAAATAAAAGGTAATTATTTAGTGGATGGTTTCATTTGGTGATTGGAGCTGATGCAATAATGAAATATTGGGTTTTAGTGTAGAAATGAAATAGGATTTTAATTGTTTTTATTTTTGATGACCTAATTAAACTGGTCTATTTAGCCTATTTAACATCAGATCCAATTAATGGAAATCAATTCAACTCTTACCTTTGGCCCTTGAATTTAGTAGTGGTTTTCATCTTAAACATCAAGTAATTAGACTTCACTCCATAGGGAAGACCTTATATTGGTCACCAGCTTCCTGATCAGTCATAGTAGAGATGGTGAGGGGTCTAATGATGCTGTCTTTGTTTGGTATGCAAGGAGAAAAGAAAGGCCGGAGAGGCCCTTGGAAGTCAATATTTAAAAGACTATAGATAAGGGATTTGCTGGTAATATTGTAAAATGCTATATGTCCACATTCATAATCAAGGTAAATGCCTAGCTTATGCAAAGGTTCAGGTATTAAAAATGCTTCCATCATGTCATGAACCCAAAGAATGAAATCATCTCTCATTTTGAAGCCTGTAAGAGAGAACACATCTGCAGGTAACAACTGACCCTTCCTAGAAGTGGATTCTCTACAGATCCCTACTGACCACTCAGTCTTGTCTCCCACCTCTACTTCCCAGTAATGTCTTCCCTGGGTGAATTTCTGAGTACCCAAAACAATAGCAGCACCGTCAAATCTCTCTGGGTTGTCAGGAACGTCTTGCACGGTACTTCCAATCGTCACACTTTTGAGATCCTCAGATAAGAGGAGATAGGGATTGGCTGTTTTAGGGTCCAGAGTTATATCTCCTGAAAGGAGAGGAAACATTTTAGATTTGGACATTCTAAACTTCAGAGGTCAACATCAAAGAGTGGGAATAATATTCAGGAAATCACATAATTCCCTATTATTTATCTTTGTCCCAACTGGGTATACTATCAGTTATTATTTGGAAATCAACACGTGCCCTGAGCAATTCCTTCTTTCATTCACTTCTGCATGCATGTATTCTTTCTTTCATAATCTATTGTCCATTTAAAAAGCATCTTCTATCTACACATAATATCATGGTCATGACTTGATCAACCATCAGAAAATAAAAATGCTTAAAACTAGAGGAAACTCTCATCATGATGCTTAGTCCCAATTGGGTATGACATCAGTCATTATTTAGAAATTGTCATTAACACATTCCCTCAACTGTGCATTAATTCATTCATTCATAACTCAGCAACCCTTTATTAGATGTCTTTTCTCTACAAGCAACACGTGCTTCCTTGGAGTATTTTCTGAAGGAATGAGTTGCTAATGTCATTAAAAAAATACAAGTATAAATATCTGATCTCAGATATGCATTGAGTCTTGGTAGAAATAGTTTTCTCTGAAACTTGATTTCAAAATATGTAACCTTCAAACACTTTTGATAGATTCTGCTCTTCAAAAGTCCCGGTCCTCATGGAGCTTACAATCCATCAGAGAAGGTATTTTTAAAATATGCAATACTATCCAATCAAGATGAAATAATTATGATGCAGTGAGGGATATTATCAGAAGATTAAATAGTTATGCCTTTCTTTTGAAACAAGAAAGTAAGAGAGACATTGGGGAGATAGAATCCAATCATGGATGTAATTGAGTCACTAGAAAGTTAACCCTCTTGTGGCTTCCTCTATCCCAACATGCACTGACCCACCAGTCTGACACATTTTGTTTTGTTAGGGGAGCCACAATAACCCCTTTGATCAGTTTGAGGGGGCACAAACATAGGAATCTCCAGAAAACCATAGGAATTTAATGTGCCCTGCCACCATCATGTCATCAGATAGCCAAAGCTATGATTGCTTTACAATAACTGTACTTCATGCCCATCATATTTGCAGACATGGTGCATAATGTGAGAATTCAACATTGGCAGGGATGCTAGAGCATAGACACACTGATTCACTATTGGTGGTGCCATGATTTGGACTAAACTTTAAAAAAAACAATTTGAAGTTATGCAAAAACATCAGAAAAACTAATTTTATTATTTGACCCCTAAATGCTTCTTTTGGGTTCCTACCCAAGGAGGACATTGACAAGAAAAAAAATTCCATCTGTATGACAATACTGGCAGAAGTACTTTTATCAAGGGGACAAGTAGGTGACAAATATCAAACCCCACTGTTGGGAAATGGCTGAGAAAGCAGGAAAGTCTTACTATGGAAGGTCATCAGCACGTCCCTCATCCCAAGGATTTGGCACCGAGGCCACTCTTGGAAAGTAGCCTGTGGACACTGAAGTAGCACAGCCTCACTCCTAAAAAAAAGGACAACTAGTTACCTTTCCTGCTGGCCCCAGGTCTTATGACTTACATATTGAGCATTAACATAATCACAGATCTATATCAGAGATGAATTTATACTCCCAGACTGCATCATCACAAATGCTGTATTTCTGAGTGAGTTTGTCTAATGTGAGTTTACCTTTCCAATGAGCTTCTTGCATCCTGTGGGGAGAAAAAGAAGCTAGTTTAGTCTCTTGAGCCTTTGACAATTTCTAAGATATTGTCATTTTTAGAAATCACAGAAGCCTTTCTTCAAAGTCTCCATTCTTCTAGAAGTTACTACTCACACATAATACAAAGGTTATAGAACTTAAGGTGAAGAAAAGGGGCTTAGAACCATACTGATATCTCTTTAGGTGGATCCCAATCATGAAAAGAACCTCATTCTCCTCTTCCTTGCAAAGAAAACCTACTTGACAAAAACAACCTGCTTCTTCCTCAGAATGGAAGGGATTGGGAGGATGTGTCTGATCCTATCTGAGGATTGAGATAGTTATGGAGAATTGACTACAGTTTACCAAGTTTTTAATTCAATGAGGCCTAGGAGACTGAATGAGAGCCTCAAGGGGGTTCAGTTCTTCTCTTTGTGCCCTCAGTTCAAATCCTTCCCATCTCCTCTGGTAATGTGACTTTTTTTTAAATCATCTTCTCTAATTCTCAATCTCTCCTAATCCATCCCTTCTACATATCAAAATGTCCAAGGTCTCCTTATTTTTGGAACACCTTCACTTAACCTACCATCACGTATAATTGTTAAATATATACACACACATATACATACATTATATATGTGTATATATACACACACACACACACACACACACACATATATACACACTGTTATGGAAAGACTTGTTTTATTCCATAAATTAAAAATTAAATAAAAATTTAAAACAAAAAGTGAAAAAAGAAAAAAAACTATCATTCTAGATCTTTCAACTTTTCCATAAGCAAACCCCTACATCTACCTATATACCCTCATTGTCTGTACTTTCTTTCCTCTCTCTTCTTAAGCCTAAGAATCTAGCTTCTGACCTCATCACTCCAGTGAAACTATTCTCTTCAATCAAGCAATGATTTTTACATTTTAAGATCTTAGCTTCTTCTAACTCCTCATTCTCCTTGAGTTTTCAGCAGCATATTATCAGATAGGCATAGAACTGGTTGAATGGGTAAATTCAAAGACTAGATTTAATAGGTTGGTATCATCTCATTTGCTTAATTACTCAGTGGCATACCTGAGGTATCTATGATATTTTATATTTTTATCCATAGTCAATATTGAGTCATAGATGGCATGTTCATTCAATTGGCAGATGACCCAAGTGGGGAAACCTAGCACACTGAAATAAATTCAGAAATTAAAAGACCTTAACTGCCTGGTGGTATATATGGAATGATTTTATACATACATACACACACATTTGTGTCTTAGTGTAGTCATCTCTAGGGCAGAGAGGGGAGGGAAGAAAAAAAGGAAAAAAGAAATTTACATGATAACTTTATTATATATTTAAAAGGAATAGCAACTTGTACATAACAGATTTGCAGTTTCATGTGAAATCATCTTTTGTTGTACTATGTTACGGAAATGCTCATTTTATTCCATAAAATAAAAATTTTTAAATTTAAAATTTAAAAAACCTGTGGAAGCTCATAGGATGAAATATAAGCATGGATAGGCAGGAAAAGATCTGGGGCTTTCATGTATCAGAAAATCAATATGAATCAGCTGCATGATGTGACTGATAAATCTAATGCCATCTTGAGCTCAATTCAGAAAGGCTCAAATTCCAGGAATGAGGAAACTGTGATCCTTTCTGTACTCTGCCCTCATCAAACAGCATTTGGAGTAGTATATTCAGTTTGGGACATTAAGTTTAAAAAGGACACTGTATTAAGCTGGAAAAATTCAGAGGAATTCAACCAAGATGGTGAAGAGTCTCTATTTTTGGTCAGGTTAGAAAGAACTGGGGATGTTCAGCCATGGAAAGAGAAGACACAGAGGACAGATGTGTTCAAGTGTTTGAAGGCTTGACAATGGAAGGGAACTTGGATTTGTTCTCTTTATCCCAAGAAGGCTAAACCTGAAATATTAGCTAGAGATATAAAGAGACAAATATAAGCCAAATACCAGGGGGAAAAAACTAACAGTTACATGCCTTATTGAAGAGAGGCACTGTTTCATTGACTCTGAATAAACATAAGGCTGAAATGAAATATCAGGTCCTCAGTTGTCCAAGCATTATTCTCCAAAAGGTCATACAGCAGAGGGAGAAGAACCTACTTCCCCCTTCACCACCAGAAAACTTCATTTGTAAAATGTTCCGTTTCTTAGAAAACTAGAAACAGAGTTAGAAGAGTCCTCATATTCTTCCTTCTCATATACATAAGTGAAGCATGAATCTTTTGGGATAGTGTAACATCTTAGAAGAGTGATCATCTAGGCTTCACAGCCTCCCTGTGGAAGATGAGGCAGCTCATTACATTTTAGCACAATTCTAATTGCTAAGAAGTTTTCTTCATCAAGTCACAAATTCCTTCCTACTACTTCCATTTGTCCTGCCTCTGTCCACCGTGGCCAAGCAAAACGTGTATAATCTCTTCATGACAACCTTTCACCTGGTTGAAGACAAGAAAGTATTTCTCCTCTAACCTTCTCTTTTCTACTTCTAAATATTCTCTCAGCCTTCACCTGATCCATCTACATTACCTTACTTGCCCTTTTCTGGACACACATCAGAGCCACAATGTCTTTTCTGAACTGTGGCATCAAAACCTGTACAGAGTCCTCCAGATGTTATCTGGTGAATGTAAATTACCACTGAGCCCAAACTATGAGGAAAGAATAGGGGGCTGGGGTGGAGTGGGGTGGAGAATAAAATGCTTGGGGTGAATTAAAAAATACCTGGTCAAACCTATTGAAAAACTATAAGCATTCCTTTCAACGTCCTAGGGGTGGCACAACATGCTCCTTCTGCTCATATCTTTCTAAAACACCACAATATTTTTGGAGAGGTTTGTTTTGTTGTTTTCAAATGCTTACCAGGAGCATCTCTGAGGCTGGCTTTTCCAAGACATCCTCTAGTTCTCCAATTGTTTTTTGCAGGTGTTGGCTATGCCGGGATGCTTGGGTCTCACTCTTCACCAGTTTCTCCCAGTTCTCTCTCATATGATTTTCCAGGCATTCCAGATGTTGTTTTTCACCCTCCCTCAAGAACTGGTACATTTTTGCATATTCAAACACAATTACCCCTTTAAGAGTTTGCATCTTCACCTGCCAGAAGAGAAATGGGGATGTTAATAATCTGAATATGATCCTATATGTTTTTCCTCTCATTCCATACATCCTGCTCTCTGACATAGCTATGCTCTTTGAACATTTACTTTTCCTCTTGTTGCTATCCCTCAGACCCTGGTATCTGTTCACAGAACAAGCCAGAGAGATCACAGGCCACGATAGACAGAGAGATACAGACCTGACACTGTTCCATACTCTTTTTCTCATTATTGATTACAGTATCAGCCTCCTTTGTTTTTTCCTTCAACTTCTCCAACGTCTCCTGGAGCTTCTTCTGCAAGAGAGATGTGGACAATGAACCCCAAGGAAACCCATTTTTAGATTCACAACATCTCATTTTTCAGATAAGAAGTTTACAAAGGCTGGGAAGTTGGCTTTCCAACTACGAGTCAGAAGGCCATAGGTTCCTTGGCCCTTGATAAAAGGCATCAAACAATGAATTAAAACAGTGTAGGGACCATCAATGGCTAGGAACAGAGCCAAGTGAAGGGACTAACATTTTCCCAGGGATTCATGATGAGTAGAAAATCTTACCCTGTAGCTCTCAGCAGCCTTTTTTAAAAGGGAGACCTTGTGAAACATGTGTTCCTTGGAAGAGAAGCAGGTGTTACAGAGAAGCCTCTGGTCATCCTCACAGAACAGCTCCTGGACCTGCTGGTGTTCTTTACAGAAGCTTGGGCCTCTCACCATTTGCAGTAAATGAGGTCTGATCAGTTTGCCAGTGAGGGTTAGATTTTCCACATCCAAATTTGCAATAAAGCGTCTGGATTCATTGACTGCCTTACACTCAGGGCAAATCCCTCTTGTGGCAGCTTCCTCCCAGCACCGGAGCAGACATGCTTTACAAAAGGTGTGCCCACAGGGGACAAGCACTGGCTCAGTGAAATAATCCAAACAAATGGCACAGGTGAGCTCGTGCTTAAGATGTGCAATCAGATCTCTAGCCTCCATGTCCCTAGACCTGGAGAGAAAGAAACAGTATTGTGTTTTTACCCCTAGAATCACCCATTCAGTTGTTTCCCATTTCTTTTCCCATTTAAAAATTTCAATTGACTTTTAAAATTGTCCATCACTCACATTTCCCAACATATTCCTCCTTCTCCCTCCCAGAAAATCTCCTTTTAAAAACAGATTTTAAAATATTTTTTAAAAAAATTATTTTTAGTTTTAAACATTCACTTCCACAAGATTTTGAGTTCCAAATTTTCTCCCCATCTCATTCCCTCCCCCCACCCTAAGATGGCATGCATTCTGTATACCCCTTTCCCTTCTATCTCTCCCCCCCTTCTCTTCTTCTCTTCCCCTTCTATTTTCCTATAGGGCAAGATAGATAAGATTTTCCTTAAATGAGGAAAGTTAACTATTAAAAAAAAAAACAACAATGTGACACTATATGTAGTACTCCATAGACATACACCCTGATTCAATACAGTGGAAAGATTGTACACTTTGAATATAGAGGAGTTAATATATTTTGGACATTAGGTCATTTTCAGAGAAATTTGTTACAAATATTTTTCCCTTCAAATTTTAGCTGTATTGGTTTTGTCTGTGAGAATAATTTTCAATTTTATATAAATTGTCCATTATCCCTTCTGTGATCCTCTTTATCCCTTGTTTGGTCATGAACTCTTGTCTTACGCACAGGACTGAGAGTTCATTCCTGCCTTGTACCTCAAATCCATTTTATGATGTGACTTTTTAGATCAAGGTCACAAATCCATTTGGAACTTGTCTTGGTAAATGTTGTGAAGTTCCAGAATAAACCTATTTTCTGCCAGACTGGTATCCAGTTTTCCAAATAATATTTGTTAAATAATGAATCCTTATTCCAGGTTCTGGGGTTGGGAGATTTATCAAGCGCTATATTACTGTATTTGCTAGCCTCTGTATGTGGTGGCACTACTGTTCCACTCTTTGTCTCTATTTTTTTTAACCAGTATTTTTGTTAGTTACTGCTTTGTAATAGTTTGAGATTTGTTAGTAGAACCTTAGAGCACGTCGGATTATGATGCAAAAAACGACCTGAATTCATGAAACAACCAAAAAGAGAGATGATGAACTAGCAGACAGTTATCATGAAAAGCAGGGTAGAGAGATAATCAACAGTATCAAATGCTTCAAAAGTTACAGATTAGCACTGAGAAAAGGTCTGGAGAAAATAATCCACCTGCCATAGCTGGTATTCCAGAGCAAATTTCAAACCCCAAGCCAGGTCCTGTTTCAAGGTCTGCCCAAGAGGAAATTCACATTCATTGGAAATCTCAGGTCTTGGCAAGTCATAGGCAATAGAGATAATGTGTCAGAGTGGACTTACTTCTATCGGAGGTCCTAAGCATATGTCTCAGAAATCAGTGCACAAAATCCCATTCATCGTAGACCTCTTCATATCATATCTTGTCTTCCCTCTGGTGTTTTTTGAAGACCCAACAAAATTCATGAAATTCTCTATCCCTGACAACTCTATCCAATGTTAGTGGGGTTTTCTCCCCACAGCCCCAAATCGGGCCAGGAGAAAGAATCCGTTTGCCCCTTGCTCCCTCTCACCGCATTCTTCCTCTTCCCCTCTCCTCAATCACTCTTGCTTTTTTTTTTTTAACAGGCTTGCTTCATGTGTCATTCATCCTTTTTGATGAAATAAACTGATCTACAGGTGGCTTCCATTCCATTTTCAAGTAACTGCTTCACCTGTCCTCCTACTTCAGGATTTTAAGGTATTTTATGTTGACGTCTCCTTAGAGACCCTAGCCTTCCAGTTCATCAACCTCCTCAATTGTAATGACATATATCCACAATATTTCAGCATGTGATCACACTGGTGTCATGTCATATATTTCACCATCACTATCACATTTCTTTGATTTTAAACTTAGAAATTCCCCCCCTTTTCATAGTCTTAAATCCTTCCATTTAACCCCCTTTTGTCACTCTTGCTAAACCAATTTTTCATCCTCACCATGATATCCAGTCAATCTGTGCCTGTTATCCCAAAGTTTCACGGCATTTCTGGATTTACTTTTATCTCTTTACTATTTTCCTTCTAGTTGACCCATTCAAAAAGATTGCATATTGTGCCTTTGAATTCTTGTCCCCTTGTCCTACTGGAATTCATGCCTTGTCATTTATCAAGCTAATCATGGCTAGGAAGAAGGAAAAAAAACCACTTGTTCTAGAAATTCTGTTATAAAAACTAGAGTAATGATCAGAAAAATGTAGGTGGCATTGATAATATTCACTTTCTCAAACAAGAGCTATGCAAAAACAAAAAAAAAGGTAAAAACAGAACAGGGTGACCCTGAAGCATTGGATATCTTCATCAAACTGAAGTATTTGATTTTGTTTCTTACTTTCACAAAGTATTTGGAGGATTTGATTTTCTTTCTTACTTTCACTAAGCCTGGAAGTCTTGTGACCATTGAGCAAATAAAAGAATCAGTTAAATAATTGATACATAGAAAAATTGAAACTGTTTCAGAATGTGAGAAATTCCTATTTGAAGTGAGGGTTCTGCAACAGAACTCTGATAGGAGGCTTAGAAATTCATCCTAAGTAAGAAACTGTAAGGATCTTGAAATAAGAAACTCTCCATCTTAGTCTATCACCTTATATGAACCTGTCTTCTATGGTTTGACTCCACTTTCCCACCCCCTCCTCCTACTCACAATTTGGCACCTGATTAGTGTTCTGCCTATACTCTCTTGGAAGACATTAATCAGAAATAAAAAGGAAACCTCTGCCCAGGCAAATTTTATTTCAAAAAACTCAAACTCTCCTAATCACAGCAATCATTATTTCTAAATATTAAGAAGTCAATAAAATAATAGGTGACAAACATTTAATGAATGTAAGATAAGATTTAAGCCAAATTTATGAAAGCAATTGAAAACTTCACTTTCTGAACATCTGTTGCACAAGTAAACACTGACTCTGCTATTTCTTAGGAAAGAGACACAGGAGGACTTCTAGCACCTCTCTCACTAGCAGGTTCACTTTTGATCTGGTCAGACAGGAAGACAGGAATGGAGTCATAATAACAGGTTAAATAAGCTTACTTTATTCTAGTCTAGTCTTCCTTCTCAAATGGTAGCACCAACTCCTACAGCATTCCCTAACAACTCTTCTCGCAGGGGCCAGAGTGAAGGGGGAGCAACTACCCCTTATGCTCTATGATGTCAGTCGAGACTAGCACAACTTGTATGCTTCCCTAGATCCCCTCAAGCCTCAATGGGGGCTGGTTGAGGCAAGCACATAGATTACCCCTCCCAAGCCTTGATGGGGGCCAATCAAGGCATACACAGCATTCAGCCTACGTGTTCACCCCTATGGGGGACCCATCACTGACCAGTGCTCACTTGCTTTACAGGGCAACAGACAAAGAAGGCATATTGCCAGCAATAGCTTCTCAATTTTACATCACTTCATCCCTATATCTATCTCGATTGACTGCGTAATATAAACTGTTTTGAACCATGATCGTGAGAACTTGTATCTAACAGCTGGGAAGCAGAGATTGTTATGACTATGGATCCTGGGAAGAAAAGTAAAAAAGAATAACAAAAAATCCACTTTACATACACTAAAATTCACCTTACTCACAACATCCTGATATATCCCTGCCTCTCATGTACAAAATTCCCTGCATCTTGAGCTCACAGAAGTCAGTTTGAGAAGGAGGTTGAAATATGATCACATCCAAATCCTTAATTTTATAAGTGCACGGAGGCCCACGATTCACTAAAGGAGATTCCAAATATCATTGTAGATCAATTTTAAGTTAAATGTTGGAGCTGCTAATTAGAGATGAAAAACAAAAGTATTTTTTAACTGAAGTATGGAGTCAGAAATAAACTTTATTTTTGCTAAATTCCAAATACAAGTCTTTGCCCTGTCCTTGGGGAAGCCTGAATCTCTGCAGTAACTCTTTTTTCTATCCCTTCCCCCTTTTTCTGTTTGAGATGGTGTCCTAATATACCCCTCACCTTAAAACAAGATTGTAGCCTTTTTGGACAGGAATTGGTGACTCTTATTATTTCTTTATCTCCATTAAAAATGAAAAAAGGAAAAGTAATATTCCCAAGTGAGATGTTTATCTTTACTTCTAACAGCTTTCTTTCAGGGTTTATACCTCCAGATAGAAGCTCACAAGAGTCAGGCTCTGGCCCTGACCCCTGATCCTGACCCTTTTATGAAATTCTGAGTCCCTAATGCCTCTCTGGATTCACAGCTACAAGGTGTGAATTTGCTGGTATCTCACCATGGTGATAAGAGCTGTGCTCAGTAAGCACATGCCAGGGACACATTCACATAGAGTTTTGGGGTCAATAACTTTATGCAACAACCACTTTAAGTGCTTATTACATGGAATAAGCTACATTCTCAAGATTCAAGAATTAGAGCTGCTTTTAAGTGTTCTAATAGGGAGAATAAGACATGCCCACAAATTAATGTGATGAGAATTAGCATAGGATATGTGCAAATAGTAATTCCTGATATTCCGTGGAAATTTATATTCCCAGAACTACTTTCTAATAATTATCTCTTGAACAAATTAAAACAGTCATATTAGGTTATTAAATATTTCTTTTTTAAAAAATATTCCAATACATCAGTTTTAATTATCAAAACTCAAGGTACAGATTCATGATACAGATAGGTCTATTAGGTAGATGTTCAAATTTGTGGAGGAAGATGATGAGTTGAAATGTCCAGATGTTTTTATTTGAGATGCTGCCTCAGTAGTTATTGAAAAGGCAGTTGGAGATATAATTATGAATTCCTTGTGATAGTATTTTGGTTTGAGAAAACTAATTTTGGGGTTTTTGTCAAGGTGAAAATTGAAACCCAGGAATAGATGAGATCGTCAAAGTCAAAATTAGGAGACAAAATAAATGTGAAGAGATTTATTAGCATGGGAAGGCGTCCATTTTCATTGGTAGCAAATTCAGATTCTTGGAGTATATA